CTTTTTCTTTAAACACAACTTGAAATATAAGGGCACACTTTTGTGCTACAATAACCTCAACTCGTGGGGATACAAGTAAATAGAACAGTCAAATTTAAATTAAATGCCGAACAGTAGTCAAAAATTACATAATTATTGGGTTGTTTGGAAAGTAATTTCGTTTTTTCACAACAAAGGTTTTAATTGTAGTAACTTTCACAACCAACTTTAGGCTTAAGTCGCATAGTCATTAGATATTTTGACAGTTGATATAGCAGGGCTCCTTTGTAAAAAGTTCGATTTATTCTACGCAGTAGTTTTTGGTTGGGGCTCTTTCAAATATGGACAGTGAGAAGCAGCATTTTCGGCATATTTTACTTTTTTCCCTATCGAAAAGGTAAAAATGCTGTTCAAGCAAGAAAAAAAAAATTATCCTATGCGTATGGAGAAGATGTACTGACAGAACAGCCAGTGTTAAAACTAGTTGCAAAATTTAGGTCCGGCAGTTTTGATCTTGAAATTACCGACGGGGGCCACAAGGAGGCCGATGGGACAGGAGAGGCTATAAGGTAGCGCGTCACTGCCCAGGCAGCTGCATCCACTCTCAAAATGCCCAGATCGAACCCCCGTCTCATCTCATGAAATGATCAGTTTCGGAAATCCAGTCCTTTCCAACTTCAAGTCCTTTCCAACTAACTCTGCCAGTGAATTAAGACAGCTAGTGCATCAACTTCATACATGACCGAAAGTTAACTTTCAATTTTGTGCACCGAAAATGTCTTCTTCCCGCCCGCTGGCCCGAATTCCTTTTTTTGCGTACAAACTCTAATTTTAATTGTAAAAAAAATTTAAAAACTTTTAATTGTGTTTGGTGTTTTAGAATATTCTGTATTTTACAATTTTTACGAAATCTAACTTGCATTTTTCATATCTCGAAAGTGCGACTAAGGATATATAACAGATTTATACACAGCATTGTTCTAACATAGGTATTTGGACAAAAAATCGGCCTTTTCTGAAATAAAATACCTATTTTTCTTTACATATTTCGATATCTACAAACTCATATTATGCTCAAATATTAAATTTCGTAAAATTTTGTAAATTTACCGTTAAATTAAAAAATTGATCTTGGCGCACATTTTTCAGTTTGCGCCAAGAATAATTCACTCGGCGAAATTTTTAATTCATGCTAACCTATTTTCGTTTCCCTTTTTTTCATTGTGGCCCAGCAAAAGAAAAAGGCTGATCGTTCATACTTTCAAATAATATTAAACAAAGTGTCTAAAGCACATTTTAACTATGTTTTTATTTTTACTAAGTTTTAACTATGTTTATGTTAATAGCAAGTACCCCAAATATCAAAACGCACTAATATGTAAATTCACGTATATTTTAGGAAGCTTTGAATAAAAATCTCTTAATTTTTTGCAGGTATACTTAGAAATACAACTGCTTTAAGATGATGGCAAAAATTTTATAGGTTATAATTCAATTTTTTTTTCAAAAAAAAAAAATTATAACCATTATTTAAAATACAAATTTTAAAACGAAATCAGAAAATAGCTGCTGATTTTATTTTGATCGAAGCTAAATTTCTAACTGTGAAAGAAAGAATCAAGCAAGTTTAATAAAAAAACAAGAGGTATTAATAAATATATACCAAATTCAATTAAGATAGAGGAGCTGAAATTTTTATAACTAATTTTTTAAAAACTGCTCCTGCGATTTTTACAGAAGTTGACACTTTGGAATAACTTGAGTGGTAGAATCGAAATATGGAAAACAAATTGGTATGTCATTTGAGAAAAATTCCGATTTTGTGTCAGAATACCTATGTTACAACAATGCTACATATAAATCTAATATATATCCTCAGTCGTCCTTTCGATACATGAAAAACGCGAGTAAATTTCGTCAGTCGGCCCAGTGAACGAGAGATAGAGACCTGTTCTTCTTTTGTGCAAGGTTTACCTGAAACATCATCAAAGGTGAACTCAATAAGTTTTTGTAAAATGTGCAAAAATAACTTAATAAGCCTCTCTTTGACCTCTCTTTCAGTGCAAGAAAAATTTGGTTCCGGTTGCACCGCTTATTTGTTATGAATTTGTAAAATGCTTCACTTACTTATGAGTAATCCTGCAAATTTGAACTATGAACTCAAGAATGAGAACAGGCTGAACAGGCAACCATTTTGTAGAATCTGGAAAATCTACGAAATATAGCAGTAAAAAAAGGCTGCCGTAGATTCAGAGCCCAATATTATCAAGTTATCTGGGAAAATATTTTCCAGATTATATCCAGTTTCTTGTATGAAGCAGATACTGATGAAGAATCTATCGGAAACAGAAGAACCATTAATCAGAGCAGTGTTTTAAAAGAAACCATTGAAAAATCGGTTCATAGATTTCTTGCGGAACTTCAAGAAATAACATCAAATCCGAAGACACTGAAGATGGGAGTTTCAGTATTTGAGACACCCAATAGAAGGAAAAAAGAATTTAAATTTATCACCTTGATGCTGGAATATATATATATATATAAAGATGCAAGGTGCTGGGAGCAGAATATTTTCTATTTTAGGTAGTATTGTGCATAGAATAAGAAGAAAATTAAGACATCAATTATTGAACCCTTTATATTTTTAAATCAAATTTCGTAAAGGAATACATTAACTAAATAAAATAAAAATCTAGATTTAATATTTTCGCGGATTTTATATACTTATGTTTTATTAATTTCATTTTGTATAGTCTGTACATTTTTTTACTTCCTTCTACGAAGTAAAGGAAGTACTGTAATTACGAAAAATTCCAGGTATCATATTTCAACAAAAATATCCATTTTGACCGCAGTCGAATGCAATTTAACGATGCTTTTTGCTTGATATCTGTGCGTAAGGACAGAATAAAGGACTCTTTTACCGAACTCATTAAAATTGATTTACCCTTTTGCGGCACAGTGGTCCAGTCTGGACACACCTAAAATTCTTCTGTACGCGCAGCAAAATTGATGAAAAGGCTTATAGGTAAGTAGGTTACCTGAACCTTTTATTTATAAGATGGCAGCTCAACACAAACCATCCTATATTTCGCCATGTTTAGTTTTAAGACCCTCATATTTCAAAGAAAGCTTCCAGATTTTTTGGTATAAAAGAATGGTTTGAAAGAAATGAATGTTTTTTTTTTGGCTTTATGCTAATCTCCTTATTCTATATTAGTTTTAAATTTTTACCTTGAAATCTTGCCTAAAATCAAACGGCGAACCCTAGGTGTGCCCAGACCGAGCTCACCGATAATCTAGGACACTGATAGTTGTATTCTTTGTTTCTCCGTTCTCTCGGTCATTCATTGACCATTCTCTTTTCAGCACTCTTTTCGAAGCTCTATCAATGAGTGCGCCACTTTGGCACACCCACAGAATTAAAAGATAATACTATCTTCACAAATTTTACTTGTGTTCTCCTCTAGGCCTAACTAGACTACCTATTTTTTTTTTTTTTTTTATCAAACTCCATTTAAAGGGTAGCGGGCCGGAAGGGTAAAATGAATTTAAAATAGATTTTTTTGTACATTGCCTCAGAACGTTTAAAATTTTATATAGGCTGCTATACATGTAGTTGGGCAGCTCCTTTTCGTTTCAATCGACCGCGCCAAAAGTGTATATATATTAATATAATATAGATTTGTTTTTACAAAGTTGCATTAAACCTTAATTTTAATCTTCTATGTTATTTCAACTTACTTGAATTCGATTTCATAATGACAATTTCCAAGTTTAATTTTACAATAATATAGAACTCAAATCATAAATGAAAGTGTCGGAGAGGTACTGGGTAAGAGGTTTCTCTACAGTAATTGCTTTACTCCAATTGAATTGACTAAAATGCTTCATAATATAAGTCTTGAGATCAGCATTGATCATAATCGCTTCTATTCGCGGAAATATTTGGCCTGACTAGAATGCCGTTTGGCTTTAAATATAACTCGAGTAAAGACGAAACATTTCCTATTTACGTATTTTTTTTTTTCAATTATTGTCATGAACGGGAGTTGTTTTTCCCCTAAAAAGTCAACTATTCCCAACAATGACATGATTACATGTTTTTAATTTTTCCTTTTACAATTGAAATTTTAATTCGTCATGATGATTTACTCCAGTCCCCGTTAAAACATTATAACATTTTGCTTTCAAATTACTTCAAAACATCTTTCAAAATATAACTAGGATTCACTCTTTTAAATAATTCTATTTTAAAATAACTTCTACTTAATTAAACTTAGGAGATAATATACAATAATCAATACTGTTTAGAATAATTATATAGTATATATGTTCACCCACTCTGTTACTCGGCTCAGCTTTTTTTTTTTTTATTATTATTATTATTCTTATATGTCGGTTAATTATGCATTTTGTGCTTTAAAAATGATTGAATTATGTTTGTTCATTTTGTGAGAACTTTCTTTGCGGGGAAATTAAAATATTATGCGAGTATAAGGAAATTAACGGAAGCATTAGTCGTAAATGTTCATTTGATTAAGCGTTATAGTTCCTGTATTTACAGAAATAATTTCTTCTTCTGTTTTCAAATATTCGTCGGACCTTGAATTTTAACTTTGTAAAAATTGTTAACGAACTTTTTTTAATATATATACCTACCATGTGCATAACAGTAACCTTAATCAGCAGGTCTGAGAGACACTTGTTAGAATCAACTGCATCAAACTTAAGAAAATGAAACAACATTGCTTTAAATGATTCCTAAAATAATAGCAATAAGCAAGAAATCTAAATCTCTAAAACGTTTCTAATACTTTTTGATCAGATGAATAAAACAGTTTAAAGTCTATATTTAGCATTGAAATACTATTTTCGAAACGGAATTAGGCACTGGTCTTCATTCATGATTTTATTTTCTTAATTAATTTTCTAGTTTTATTTAACTAACCATTGCATTAAATATTGTTTTTCCAATAAAATCCGGAACTTTTTTTTTTTTTTTTTTTTTTTTTTTTTAGGATGGATGCAAAGAAGCCATCTGCAGAAATTTCCCAGACTGTGGTAGGTTGAGAAGCAAAAGAATCCGGTTTTCTATACTTGTGGTGTCATCTGGCGGCTAACACAGGAACTAGATGACCAGAAAGAGATGAAAATAAACGAAGCACTTTATTGGGAGAATGGATACAGGAAATCGGAAACAAACTTGGCCTAGTAAAATAGTAGCTATCTATCGGCAGATTAAGAATTGACTTCGGCATGGACGGAAACTAAAGCTTGTAAATAGATGTATTTTAAAATACCCACAAATTTTATAAATTATTCCAGTTATTATAATTAAATTATGAAAGAAATACATACTTGAATCATTTAAATATTAATATTTAACTTCACATAAATGAATATAAGTTTCTGATATTCGTCTTTAAATCAAAAATATAAAAAATGTAAATAAACGTTTTACGTTTTGTGTGCTACCTTTATTTATTAAATATCACGTTCTCTGAACTTAAACCATAAAATTCAATTTAACAGCAGTATCACAAAATATTTTGTATGTTTACTTTCTTTATTAAATATCATGTTTTTGGTTGTTACGCCACATAAAATTGGAATGAACAGCAAAATCACTAACTAATTTTAAAATGAGCATATCTTTAAAATTTCCGATACACAGTCTCACGCGCTAGAGATAAAAATGTTTCTTTTTTTTTTCGTACAGTGTTGCCATTGCTCGCTTTGAAATCGTTGAGTTTGTTAATCAAAAATGCGCTCAAGTTTTACAAAATATGAAGTACATAATAAAATAAATCCCAAATTCCAGATGCCCATATTCGAATGGAGGATTGCGTTATTCAAAATTTGATATCACTAGGTACCGTTGTTTTTTTCGCATTGCGAGAAACATGCATACATTTATGCAGATTCTATCTTATTTAATTTCTTTGAAAATAATGTAGGGCTCTAATATTTGGTGGCAACAATTTTAAAATCGAAACGCCATTTTATAATAGACGACGCAAAATGCCAATATGAAATTAATAGCCCTTCTGGGCAAATCGGCCCTTTGGGCTAAAAATAACCAAACAATTCAAATCTGGAAAATATGAAAGGAATATTTCAATGCATGTGCTCGGCCAATATTTTACTCGCAGTCTTTTCATCAGTATTATTTTTCATCATAAAAACAATATTTTTCTAACAGTAAGAAGAGCATTTCAAAGCACCACAAGTGAATGTCTGCTTGAATTTTTGCTCCCTGTTCCTCTCCGTATGAAATCCTTTTCATCCTCATAGAAGACCATAGAAGTGATACATTATGGTACATCAAGTGATTCTGCTTAGTTATAATAAATAGCTTCTGGAGGCAGGGGCTTTAATCCGTGTAAGCATGTCAGACATCATGTCAGCTAGGTAATGGAGCCCCTGTTCTCTGGTTAACGGTACATCAAGTGAACAGCAGGTTACGCTCACAGGATACCTTAAAGAAAAATACTTCCTTTAAGATCCAATATGGATAAAATGATTATCTGCATTGTGGATCTTTATTTCACAAAATTATTCAACTGTAATACTAGAGCTCAAACATTAGTATTACAGATGGAGGTATTTCTTTTTCCTTTTAATCTTCGTTATTTATGATAGTCATTTTTATAATCCCCGAGTAAACACGAGAATTAAATAAAAAATAAATGGGAAGGTCAAATTAAAATGCACATTTGCATTAAAATAACAAAGCTTCACAGTATTAAGTCTATAATGATAATACAAGGTCCGGCTATTAATTTCCAGGACTCATGGAATAACTCAGTAGAAAAAAAGGTTAAACACACAGCCATTTAATATGATTCACAGTAATCCCCATGAGCCGTAATGCACGCCTGTGCTTGGCTGTACAAATTTCGGAAAGAAGTCCTCTTTTGGAATGCTCTTTAATATAGACGTTACAGTTTTCTTGATGGCTTCGACATCCTGAAATCTTGTTCCCTTCAGCTAATTTTTCAGCTTAGGAAACAGGAAAAAGTCTGCGGGTGCTAGGTCTGGAGAGTATGGTGGATGCTGCATTTCAACGACACCATGCTGGGGTAAGAATCGCCTCAGAGGCAACGCAGTGTGTGGGCGGGCATCATCATGTAGCAGCAGCCAACTCGTTTTTGGTTTTTGTTGAAAATGAGGCCTCACTCTACGAATTTGTTTTCGAAGTCGGTCATACGTTTTAATGCACCTTTCCACGAGAACCACCTACTTCAGAATGGCGCCGATTAACTTCTGTGTAGAACTGTCCATTGACAGTCATGTTAGGAGGAAGAAATTCATGATGAATGAGTCCATCGCAATCGAAGAAAGCGACTTACATGACCTTGACTTTGGGCTTTTCAAATCGAAATTTTTTTTCTACCTTGATGAACCTGGAGACCGCCATTCGGAGCTTTGACGCTTAGTTTCAAGGTCATATTGATAACACCAAGACTCGTCTCCCGTGACTATCCTATTCAGGAACGCTGGGTCAGCATCAGTGTTGTCGATAAGTTCGCCACATGCGTCCAGTCACAATTGCTTTTGTTCGTCCCTTAAATGGTGAGGAACGAATCTGGAACAAATCTTGCGTTTGCCTAGGTCTTGCGTCAAAATTCGCAGAACCGTCTCTTTGTCCATGTTGAATTGATTGACGAGTACTCGAATAGTCAATCGACGATCACATTTCTCCATATTGCGAACTTTTTCAATGGCTTCTGACGTGCGTACGGACTGCGGCCGACCTGTGTGTGGATCATCTTCGACGCTTTCGCGCCCGTCCCGAAAGCGTTTAAACCATTTAAAAGTTCTTGAGCGCGATAATGCTTCCTCGCCGTAAACATGTTTTAACATTTCGTAGGTTTCCCCAGCTGTCTTGCCCAATTTGAAGCAAAATTTAATGTTAATTCTTTGCTCCATTTTCACTTCGACAATAGGAAGTTAAGAGCTACGTTTTAATGCGCCTTTTCACCTACTTCAGAATGGCGCCGATTGCACTGCACATGCTCAAGAAAATGCTCTTCAATATGCAGTCATTGGCGCCATCTTCCGACTTTTCGTTCTCCTACAGTTACGTCAGCCCTGGAAATTAATAGCCGGAGTCTGTAATAAAATTCTATTGCAATATGCAGATTGAGAAAGGTTAATAATTTTTTTCCTTTTAGTAGACATAGTTTTATAAGAGTTTTTTTTTTTTTTTCTTTTTTTTTTACCATAGTTCATGTTTTGTAAAACTTTAACGAACTTTTTATTAGCAAACACACAATTTCAAAGCGAGCAATGGCAACACTGTACCAGGGGGGGAGAAATGTCCAGCGCGCGAGACCGTCTGTCGGAAACGTGGAGGTTAGAATAGATGGATTAAGCATGACGTCACAAAATTGAAGCCAAATCACAACGTGACGTCAGTCTTATCACAGGCGCCATACAGCGTACGAGTAAGACTACCAAACATATTGTTAAATAAAATTACATTGAATCTGAAAACAAATGTCAACGTGCTTTTTGGCTCAGAAAGTGTTTTGAGTCATAATTTGCACAAAATACCATTGAAACTTCAGCAAGTTCTTCCAGGTTTTACCAATATATATTTGTTCTATAGACACCATTTACACATTTCATGTACTTAGATTTTAATAAATTTGAAAAAGTTATTTGTAATCCTTGGGGTTTTTCTATGTAATAAGTAGAAAATCTTTTATATTAAGTATTAATATTAGAACGGGAGACTCATAAACGTTCAATATTGAATAGCTGACATGCAAAAAACGCCGAACAGAATGCAAAGTCTGCTTATGACAGCGGCCATGTTAAGTAGTGACGTCATACCGTGACGTTTCATGGCTTCCTTTTCATTACATGGGACATACGGAGAAGACTTACTCCGTCTATTGTCGCCTCCATGATCGGAAATTCTAAAAATATGCTGTTTTTAAATATTTACAGTCCAAAGGGACATTAGCCCAAATGATGTCGAAACCTGTAGGTGTGTAAATGAAAAAAAAAATATGAGCTTTGGACGTAATATAAAATGTGAAAGCTTCCAGACACTTTTTTTGTTTATGAAAGGAATCGAACATTTATATGACCATACAGCATAAGCGATTGCAAATTCATCCAAGTAATCCTCCATTCAGTCTGTGTAGTACCTCATATAGAGTGTAATTAAATGAGTCATTTTAAACAATATTTTTTTTTTTTTAATTTAGAAGTCAAACAACAAAAATCAGCGTAATAGTAGCAAATTTTCACAGGACTAGTTTGGATAGTTTTCCTGAACTATAAACCTCAGTTGCCAAAGTGCAAATGAAGGAGATAAAATATAAGGATAAGATAAGAATAGTTGGAGAGGAGTTAAGCTACTGGCGCCATCTATTGATGAAACAAGAAAACTAAAATATAATTATTGTTCTAAAAATTAATATTTGTTCGACGTATAAATATCTTTTTCATTAACATTTTCTTTTTGTCGAAGGGAAAAGATTATTGAAGAAATAGTGTTGGATTGAGCTGCGTTATATCAGTGATACTTACGAAATGAAATCTGGCTTTAATGATAATTGAATTATTCGGATAAATTATTACCATTAGTATAATTAAAGAATAAAAAAGATATTATGTATATACATTATTCATCACGACCGCAGACTTGCTATTTGACTCTTTACCTGTAAAATTCTGTGTTCGTGGTAGCATGGGATTTCGCGATTCAAACTGTAGAGTTTCCGGATTCAAAATCAAAACTCGAAAATAAAATTTTAAATTGCTTACACCCGATGGCCAGTGTTTATTAACTAAAAATATTATAAAGATACATTTATATGTATAAAGAAGGAGGTCTGTTTCTCTGTTTGTTTGTTTGTTTGCGATTAACTCAGTCATAACTATAGCTATCATCATCAAACATTCTACAATTCTTTTCTGCGTAATGGAAAAGGTCGACGTCCACTTAAAGAAAAAAAAAAAAAAAAAAAAATCTGAAATGTTTCAGATTTTTAATTAACGTCCAAAGGGGCTTTTTTTAAACATTTGTGTGTTACCTTTCTTTATTAAATTCATGTTCCTCGCACTTAAACCATAGATCCCAGTGCAACAGCAATATCGCAAAATAGTTTTAAAACGAGCATATCTTTAGAATTTCCGATACAGAGACTCACGCGCTGGAGATAAAAAATGTTTTTTGTTTTTTCTTCTGCACAACGTTGCCATTGCTCGCTTTGAAATCCTTGAGTTTTGTTAATCAAAAATTCGTCAAAGTTTTAAAAATATGAAATCGATCATAAAACAATTCCAAATTTCACATTTGGGATTCCAGATGCCCAAATTCGTAGTAGGATTACGTCATTCAAAATTCGATTGTTCTATGTACCGTTGTTTTTATCACAATACGAGAAATACACATACATTTATGCAGATTTTTCATTATTTAATTTCTTCAAATATAATGCAGGAC